ATGCCGATACTCATGGAGCAAACCCGGGGTCTGTGCGATGAGGGGAACCAAGCGCAACCCGCGCTCAAAGTTTTTTGGGCGATTTAGCGGTAATCTCGACTGACATGTTCTCGGCCCCGCTGTTCCGCGACGCCACCGTCACCGACCGCGCCCCGTCGTGTGGTGACTACCTGTGGTATGTACTTTCTTTCAGACATTGCCCGACCAGCCATGCCTACCCACCTCAGGAGCAAGGGCGTAAGTACTTGAAAACCGGTTATCTCGCTCTAGGCCGAGTACCGTTGGTGATATAGAAATGCCGCCTGTGCGGAAACGTGGCAGGGTCGAAGGGCAATCGAGCCCCGAATAGCAAGAGCATAACGTTCTCCAGCGTCATAGCAAAAATGCGCGAACAATAGCGTTAAACTCATATAATAAGTCTATTCCTAACATTTTCCTCTATATCCGCCTCGTAAGCTTGAAACTCAAGAACTTTGCCTCCTATTGTGAACTTCGTCATTTCTGGACCGTATAAGTTTGTTTTGTGTGCAGTGACTCCTTTCAAACTTAACTTTGCAACGGGAAGATTCCTTGATCTAGCGAGTACAGTAATACCAGCTATATCTATAACACAATCTTTATTTTTGTTGTTTATTTTACATGAGATCGTTGGCGCTATACTAACAGTTGTACACGCATTACAAGTGACGTCTTCCAGGTGAGCGTTGTTGTCGCCGTCTTTGCCATCGCACAGAGGCCGCCGAAAACGGTGCTACAAAGGAATGTCCACCGCATGTCCGAACTCTGATCTTTTTTGTCCTCCGTGTTAAGGTCCGCTGCTGAATGTCCCTTAATTGATTGGCCGCTAATATAAATGGCCTGTTTAATAGGGCACACGAATACAGACCTCGACAACATCCGAACGCTGAAGGACGGCATCGACGGTCACATCAACCACGTGGCCGACCACCGCGGGCCATAATGAGACTCGGAAGGTCATGCGGGGAGTGAAGCAGCGGGCTGGCGAGGAGCATCCGAACGACCC